CTTGAATACAAGCAGGGAATCAATGAAGTGATTAATGCCCAGAGTGAGGAACTCCAGAGCAAGAGATCCCTCAACCAACAGGAGATGCAACCCATCCATAACTTAGTATATAAAATCAAGGGAGTTGCCCAACATCCAGTGGTGAGATGACTTATACAGCTAGTAAATGTCAGAGGCCAGATTTTAATCCAGCAATCTCTAAATTCAGCAGTCTCATTCTAACTGTCCTGCCTATACAAAGTGATTTTCACCCTAATTATAAATTTGTTGTCCCCTCTAAATTATATAATTTATATACGCCAACAAAACAAAACATTTGGTGGGTCCTGTCTCCAATATTCCATTTGTACCCTCAGAATTATGAATGCAAGGTATTTTAACCCAAACACTGGGGAATTTCTTACTCTAGTAAGTCTTCTACACCCACATTATCTATCTGAGTGTTCACCTGGCTGCCAGCATAGGAGGACACTAATTGGTTCATCAGCCCCAAACCATGCCCCATTGCTGCTATCCTCATAGACTGACTGCTATCCTCATAGACTGACTGACAATCAGATGCTAAGCATGGCACTCATCTGCTTTCTGGACTAACAGGCAGGTTCCCCTCTGTGTCAGACTTATCTTGGTGACAATAGAAATTTCCCCAATGACCTCACAAACGCACCTCAACTTCATTGATCCTGACCCCTTGCTGGTCAGCTCCTCTAGTCCCAGCTTCTTTCCTCCAACACAACTGAATTATAGGAAATGAAAGAAGGCGGAAATCAATTTAAAAAAAAAGGTTAAGGAGGAAGGAGGCACTGTAAACACAGGTAGCAGAATGCAGAGGATTTTTTTTTAAGTCACAAATAGAGTCAGGGTTGGGATAAGGAGTGAGAAATATGGAGACAGCTAAGGAGTTAGAACAATGGAAGAACAATGGAAAGAGGGAGACAAGTGTTAAAGCAGAAGGCTCATGGGTTCTGGAATCAGAATGCCTGGGTTCAAATCCCACCTCGGACAATAACTACCTGAGTAACGCTGGGGAGCTCTTTGATCTCTCTGAGCCACCGTTTCTTCACCTCTAAAGTCACAGAATCAGAGGTTCTTAATATCCCCATGTTAAGAACTTGTTCTGTGAATCTGTTTTCTTAATATTTTGATCAACTGTATTTCAATATGATTGATTTGCTATATAATCCTTCGAATTTTGTTTTATGCATTTAAGAACATTCTGAGAAGAGGTCCATAGGCTTCACCAGATTGCCAAAGGGATCCATGACAAAAAATAGTAAGAATCCCTGGAGTAGACAATCCCTTAAGTTCTTTCCAATTAAGATACGTGTGCAAAGACATACTTCCAAAACAACAAGAAAGGGAGAAGGAAAAGGAAGGGGAAAGGGAAAGGGGAACCATAAACCATAGCAACAAAAATCATATTAGCAATCATACATCTAATACCACAAAGTCAATTTTAAGTCTACATTATCTAGTTTCAAGATAAGGATCATTTAGAATTGGAAGTGACAATTAGAGGTCCTCTAGTCCAAGCCGCTCATTTTATAGATTGGGAAACCGAGGCTCAAAAACAGTGACTTACCCAAGGTAATATCAGTAGTGTCAAAGAAGGATTTAAACCCAGGTCCTCTGACACCAAATCCAGTATTTAATCAATTAACACATTAAGCACTTACTATGTGCCAAGCACCATGCTAGGTATTGAGTATAAAGATAAAAAGAATGAAAAATCCCTAATTATAATATGCTTACATACTAAAATAAGTACACATAAAAATACAGAAAACATAAAGTTGAAAAATACATATATATGCATATGTGTGAATACAAAACGAAGTTAAATACAAGGTAATATGAGTGGAAATGTACTAAAATTTGGGGGGGGATCAGAAAAGGCTTCATGTAGAAGATGGTGTCAGAGCTGCCTCTGAGGGGAAGAGAGGGATGAATGAGGAAGGAAGGAAGGAAGGAAGGAAGGAAGGAAGGAAGGAAGGAAGGAAGGAAGGAAGGAAGGAAGGAAGGAAGGAAGGAAGGAAGGAAGGAAGGAAGGAAAAGGAAGAGAGGGAGGGAGGGAGGGAGGGAGGGAGTGCTTTCCAGGGCCTGCCAGTGCAAAGACACAGGGATGGAAGTTCAAGTATCCTGACTGAAGAACTGTAAGAAGGCCAATCTGGCTGGATTAAAAGAATGTGGGAAAGGAAGTAACAGCCAATGAGGATGGAAAGGTAGGTAGCTAAACAAACTCCTCTAATCCTAATCCTAACTCTTCTCCCACAAAATAGTGTATAGCTAGTGTGGTTGTAAATAGTTAACTCCACCATCTTTGTAAACTGATGAAATTGTGAGTCACTCATTTATATTTAAGTTTTAATCACATCAGTTCTTGATTGAGGTCTCCTTAGCTTGCTAAAGAAAATGAGTGGAGAATTTAATTTAGATGCTTGTTTGCAATAAGATGAACTAATTTTACTCTTGTTTGGGATTTTCACTCATCAAAATCCAAAATCCCTTTAAATTTTCCCAAAGGGAAAGAATTTATGAGTGTGTGCTTTCTGGACAGCTTCATTCTTTGTACTTGGTACACTTAGCCTTTAAAAAGGAAATGTATACTGGCAACCAATTTATTTAGAAATACTGATGCAAAGTTTTATTTTTCCCCACCCTCAAGACTTTAAAATATTAGGAGCAGAAAGAGTATTGGCTGGAAGAAATTAATGCCATAATAATATTTTACCCTGGAGGGAAGAGGAAGCTACTGGAGCTGGTTGAGTAGGGGAGTCACATGATCAGATCTGTGCTTAAGGAAAATTACTTGGACTGCACTGTATTGGGTGGACAAATTGGGAGATGCTTGAGATGGGGAGACCAATTATAAAGATGTTGTAATAATCTAGGTGAGAGGTGAAGAGTGCCTGAATAGCTGTATGAGTGTAGAAAAGGGGTTGGAAGTAAGAGATGTTATGAAGGTAGAAATGTCAAGATTTGGCAACTGATTGGATATGTGGGGTGAGGGAGAGTAAAGAGTCTTATGATGACAAGGTAATGGACCTAAGACACTGGAATGATGGTGGTACCTTCAGGAGAAATGGGGAAGTTGGGAGAGTTTAGGGAGAAAGATAATGAGCACAATTTTAGAAGGGTTGAGTTCAAAATATCTCATTTTGAAATATTCACTAGGCAACTGATGACAGGAGATTGAAGCTCAGAGGAGAGTCTGGGGCTGGATATGTGGAGCTGGAATCACCTGCAAAGAGATGATAGTTAAACTCTGGGAAGCTGATGAGGTTTCTGTGAGAGCCTAGAGGGGGAGAAAAGGGGCAGGACAACCTTGAGAAGTACTCACAGTTAGGAGATGTGGTGATGAGCCACCAAAGCAAAGTGGAAAAAAAAAGCCATCAGATAGCTAAGAAGTGAAGCAGAAGAAAAGAGAGTCACAAAACCCAAAAAGTGTCTAGGAGGAGAAGGTAGTCCACCGTGTCAAATACAGCAGATAGATTAAGAAGGATTAAGACTGAGAAAAGACCATCTGATTAATGGCAATTTTGGAGACAGCACAGTTTCAGATGAGTGAGCAGGTCTGCAAAAGTTTGAGGAGAGAAAATGGTAGTAGCAATCTTAGACAACTTTTTCAAGAATTTGCCTTGGAAATCCTATTATGCCATGCTGCCTCTCACCGCATGACAGAACATGTTTCACATTCTTAGAAAAATAATGAAACAGAGAAGATCCTCAACTCAAGTCCTGCTCCAATGCCTCATGGAGATGTAGATAGGTGACCCTGGATTCTGTGCTAAAGGAAAGTAACCTCTGGCAGGACCTACCAAGCTGGAAAGGCTTCCCCTACATCTGTCATTGGTCTGTTAAACAAGGACCATCATGGCTAATTTCAGAAAGGTTCATTGACAGGTTAAACTTTGGGTAATACTTTTTTCACCATACACCTCTACAGCTGAAGAGAGATATGTATACTCAATTAAATTACCCATCTATAACACAGTGAAGCAGACAAGGTTAATAGCTACTGTATTTACATCTAAGCCTTAAAACTAAATTGACCAATATTAACACAAAAATAACATTAGGCCTTATATTTATAATTCCTTCTTAAAACTTTCAAAATCTCTCCATAGTGGGCACCCTGAATTTCAAAATTGAGGTGTGGACTGGAGAAACCACAAGACTCCTAGTTTAAATAATGTAGCATTTCACATGAGTTAAATTGAAATGTGAGGAGAGAAACTTTGACATGAAGGGATGGTGAACAAGAAGAGTTCAGGCCAATGGCCAAAAAGGAATTAGGACCTTTATTTATGGCAAAAATATGACATGTTACATGAGTCACATGCAATTTCTCAAGTTCAATATTTCTATATAGGAGAGGAGGCTAAAAAAGAATTAGTAGAAAGCACAGGAAACACAGGCATCATTCCTGCCTTCCCTTGGCATGAAATCTGAAGCCCAGTACAAGAGAATAATTTTAAAGCACTGAGTCTCAGGAGAGAAAATAAAAATTTGGTCAGGTGGAAGTCGGTATGGTACGGTGGAAAGCACTTGGAGACAAAGGACCAATGAAAATCCTGCCTCCACCACGGGTCACACCACCTGTGTGTGACTTCTCTAGGCCTCAGTTTCCTCATGTGTAAAATGGAGAAGAGGTGGACTAGATAAACTCTATGGGCCCTTCCAGTTTTTAATCGCTAATGCTAAGAAGAAGTTCAGGATGTTGCCCTCCAGACTTTAACCCTAATATGGCCAAGAAACTATCTGGGACTAAGAGATTGCTTTAAAAATGCAACCCCTTAGTTTCCTTTGTAGCCCTCCTTCCCCCTCCCGGGGGAATGAGGGAGGGGGCGCTTTTTGGTGAGGCTGGGGCGCTGGCCACACAGCCTCCCTTCCTGCAGCCCCAGCCCGGCCCCCGAACCTTCCCCGTGAGCCGCGAGCCCGCGCGCTTAGCCACGCAAGAGTTAAAGTCTGCGGTCCTCAAATTACCAACATGGCCTCAGAGTTTGCTAGATCACCGCTGAGCTCTCCCTCTTGCAACGCTTCCGCTGGGCAGGCCGGACGGAGATGGCCCCTGGGCACCTGTCCCCGGCCTGCCAGCCCTGGCCCCTCCGGTTCTCCAGATTCCCCACGTCCGCGTCCGCGGATCAGCACGCGCGGGGCCCCGCGTCCGCCCCTCTCCGGGCCCGCCCAGCGCAACCAGGGCTCCCAGAGAGGCCACGGGCAGGCGAGGTGAGCAGCCCATACCTCCGAATGCCTGGCGCGTCCAGAAGAGCCCCAGGAAGGCGGCGAGAACGGGAAGGCGGCCAGCAGGGAGCCCCTTCATCCCGCCAGGAAGCGCCCCCCGCGCCCTGGGCACATTCCAATCGCGGGCGGCAGCCCGGGCTACCTGCCCCGCTCGGGCCCCTCCCCAGCGGGCGCTCCTACCACGCAGCGCGGGCCTGACCGGGCTGGGCTGAGGGGCGCCGCCCCCTCGCTGCACCAGGCCGGCCCGGGGCAGTGGGCGGAGGAAAGGGGGGAATTGAACGAGATTTTTGAGCTGCAGCTGTTGTGCTCTATCAGGCCTGTCGACCTGGCAGCCCCTCAGTGGAGAGCTCCCCTTTGGAGATTTGGACGTGTTTGGAGACCCCTTCCAAACTTGTGGCATTAGCCACAAGTAGCCTGTGGAGAGGAGAGGGCTGCTGGGACCTTACCCAAAACGTAGCTCGAAATTGGCGCAGTGGTGCCAATTATACATATAATGTATAATTCATCCCTAGAAGTTATTTCTCGAGTATCGATAGGGCGCATAACTTTAACGTTTGGTGGAAGAGGTGGTCCCAGGCCCTCAGGTGTCAATACATTCGCTGAGACTTAAACTCTGTAAAAGCTTGAGGCTGTTTTTTTAAATCAGCAGTAACTGATTACAAATTATTGTAGCAAACTCCTGGTCAAGTCAGCAAGCATTTATTAAGCCCTTGCTATACTCCAGGCTCTGTGTTAATCCCTGGACAAAGCATTGTCCTCAGGGAGCTCACCTTCGAATGGAGGAGACAAGAAGCAATTATGTGCAAATAAGACAGATATAGATATAGATATGTGTGTATATCTACATAATGCATACATCTATGCATATATATGTAGATCTGTCTCTATCCATCTATCTATCATCTTTTTTCACTGGGATACTGGGCAAATCACTTAACTTTTCAGTGCCCCAGGCAACTCTTTAGATGCTTCAAAGAAGGTGCCAACTTGGTAGAATTTCCTTACTAGGATATTTCACAAGGCCCCCTCCTGCCATTCCAGTCTTCATAGACCTTACTCCCCTCCTGAAACAAAGCATTTTATACTAGGCAGAGTGGACATCAAGTGAAAAGGCAGAGAGAGGCCTGCCTAACCACTAACCACACTGAGAGGTTAAATGGTCTTGGTGGGTCTCCCACTCAGCAATACAAGGCAGTACTTATTCTAGTAAATCAAATGAATGATAAAGGCTGTAAGAGCTATAGGCCTTCGAAGTAGGTAGACATGGCTGGTCTGGTCAGGGAAATCTTTATAAAGAACACACTTGAACTGAGTCAAACCTATGGCTAGGACTTGGTTAAGGAAAGAGAAAGCGGGGAGGCATTTTTGGAAGTGAAAACAGTATCTACTAAATGATACAATATGTCAAAACAGAATCCCAAAGTTGGAAAACACCTTAGAGATCATTGTCTAGTGGAAAGAATACTATACCCATGTTTTGTCTTTTTTTATTTTTAGGCAATTGGGGTTAAGTGACTTGCCCAGGGTTACACAGCTAGGGCCCGATTTGAACTCGAGTCCTCCTGACTCCAAGGCCAGTGCTCTATCAACTTCGCCACCTAGCTGCCCCCTCAATACCCATGTTTTGCTACAAGTTGTTTAGCCTTGATTAAATCTTTTCATCTCTTTGGACATCAATTTTGTCATTTGTGAAATGGGCCTAAATGATGTCAAGGGACCCATGCTGGGGAACTCTCACAACACTCTCTTCTGAACATACTGCAGCTTGCCAATTATTTTCTTAAAATTCAGTACTCTATAGTGTTGTTATGGGAGAAATATCTCCTCTCTGAGTTCATGTAGTAGGTAACTGCTGCCAAAATAGATTTACCACAATGCAGAAATTATAAAGGTAAAAACCTAGGTTTTATTATTAGGCTGAAGCATAGGTTCAGGCTTGGAGAAAAAAAACGAACCTGAACAACCATTAGGATTCTAATAAGCCTTCTTGTAGGCAAAATTACATCAGAGTGACAGAAGACTAATTCTGTTAGATATTGCTGTCTTGTGAGTTCTTCTTAGGCCATAAAAGTTAAAAGATTCATAGTAGCATATTTCCTTAAATGTCATAAAAGTTGAACAAACTTAGCTAAAAAGAGACAAAATCTCATACATCTCCTAAAGAAATAAACTCTATAGGTAAAATAAGTCAGGTTACAAATTAAACTACATTTAGAGGGTTCACAAATAGGTGAAATTGAGGGAAAAGATTTACATGTCTTCAAGGTACCAGAGACATTTGAAATTCTTCCTCTAGCTTCTTATTGGAAGAAAATGTAAGTAAATTTTCACATCCCATGGGACAAGTTTCAGCCAGCTCAGCAACCTGTCAACTAAAAAAAAAATGCCTTGACCTTTCCTTAACATTATTATTCTATGAATCAGGTTTTGGTCAAGTAAGGTCAACATTAACTGAAGATGGGCCTTTAGTCAACTAAAACCTGCAGGAGGAATGGCCCTTACCCCTGAATAATTAATTAATAAATTAATAATTACTGAAAAGAAATTTTTAAATTCCCATTACAATGTCTACTCCAGTCACTGAACACAGATGTAGCATGACCAGGGTAGAATACTATACTATTAATGCAGTCTATAGTTGCATACCTTCTCAACCATATAGTACTTTATAATTTTCAGAGAGTTTTCATATACCTTATTTCATTTGACCTAAACAGCAATACAATAAGGTAATGCAGGTATGATATTATCCCCATTTCGCAGCTAAGGAATATGAAGCCTAGAGAAGTAATGTAGTGCCTGTGTACTCTCCTCTTGGCACTTTGCTCATGGTGGGGATGAAATTAAAGCTTAGAGGTTCTCTTCTACACAGGCATCAAGCCCAGATCCTTGGTCTCATTAACATGCATCACCTGAGTAATAGAATTAAATAGTCCAGTGGAAGGGGTGGGGAGGATGGAGTTAGCATCTAGATCTTCTCTGCAGCTGCCTCCTCCACTGTCCTTCCTTCTGGGTCCATCCTTCATCCTGTTTCATCCTGAGACTTTCTCAAATCCCAGCCATGCATTGCTCAGCAGTCTAAATTTGAAAGATGTGGCATTTTGCTGAGTGTTGGAGAACTCTGCCTAACCTGCAAACGTTAACACCAGTGTATTTGACCATCCCAGTAAATAATACCAAACCTCCAACATGTGTGCATCTTGTCCAAGTGATTGCCAAGTGTTTAGCCCTACTATTTCCCCCAAATATAAACATTTGCGGTTGAGAAAACAACAAAGTTGCATGATGTTTCCTTGAGAGCAGAGACCATGTTTTACCTTTCTTTATATCCCTAGTGCTTAACACAATGCCTGACACATAGTAGGTGCTTAATAAATGCTTCTTGACTGACCACTGATTGACCAATTGACTGAAATTTATTATTAGCCTGCTAAGGAAGACTGTACCAGCTGGTAGCAACTTCAACTTAAAATACAGCTTGAGTTTTTAATAGCTTTTTAGGCTTGCTGAGAGCACACAGCCGATCAAAGGCATTCCAAGGTCAAAAGGAAAATGGAGGCGGGGGGGGGTCTGGAAGTGTTGACAGACCCCTGTCCTGAGATTCCCAACAGTTAATCAAGATCAGATTTGTTCCTCTAAATTTCTCTGTGATTAGTAATTGCTAATGTAGTGAAGACCCCCTTCAAGACAGAAACAGTCTGGCTCACCCTGTTGTTACCAATAGGAAGGGAAATAAAGGCTAGCCTGAGGGTCATTGTTAACATAACCCCATAGCTCTGTTTCTTTGGCCTCTGAAGTGGTTGTTCTATCTGGGAAGATGCTTCCCCCAAACTCACAGTACTCATGTTCATCCTCCTCTACAAGCACAACAAGGATGTTGACAAGATGTCAGTTCTTGACATGTCCTACTGTTTCCCCAAATTTAAAATTTTGCAGTTATGAAAATGACAATGTTGGTACGTTAAAGGCCTTAGGAGTGAGTGATTACCCATTTCATTAATTATTCGTTTACTGACCTGAAGACAAAGCCTCTCCAAATGTTCATTGGATCTTTGTTGAATTGAAATGTGTGTGTGTGTGTGTGTGTGTGTTTGTGCGAGCATGCCCACGTAGGAAGTAAGGTCAGGGCAGCTGGTGGTACAGTGGATAGAGTGCTGGGCTTGGAGTCAGAAAGACTTATCTTCAAGAGTTTAAATCTGGCCTCAGACACTTGCTAGCTGTGTGACCCTGGACAAGTCACTTAGCCCTGTTTGCCTCAGTTCCTCATCTGTAAAATGAGCTGGAGAAGGAACTGGCAAACCACTCCAGTATCTCTGCCAAGAAAATCCTAAATGAGGTTATGAAGAATCAGACATGACTGAAAAAATGACAACTATCTGACTTCAGATCTAGTAGTTTATCCATTGTTCCATCTAGCTACCTAGAGTAGAAGAAAGGTAAGAAGAGCGGTAGGGAGACAGCTCATGCCATTTGGCTTAGGTACTGGAGAAGACTTTCGAGAGTCCGTTGGACCACAAGGAGATCAAATCAGTCAATACATAAAGAAATTAAAACAGATTATTCACTGGAAGATCAACTACTGAAGCTGAAGCTTAAATATTTTGGCCATATAATGAGAAGATGGGACTCACTGGAAAAGACCCTGATGTTAGGAAAGATTAAAGGCAAAAGGAAAAAGAGGATGACAGAGAATGAGATGGATAGATAGTGTCATGGGAACAATGAACATGAACTTGGACAGACTTTCAGAGACAGTGGGGGATAGAAGGGCCTGGCATACTATGGTTCATGAGGTCATGAAGAGCCAGACGTGAATGAACAACTGAACAACAGGTGTAACGTCATGGAAGACAGGTGTGTTCAGTTCTTTGTCTCTTCCTAACACCCAGAGCTAAGTGTTCCGTGTATACTTGTTAAATGATTAATTTGGTCATAGTGAGGGAAAGTTGTGGCTGGATGGTAACAACTTTCAGAGTTCAGAAATAGCTACTTCAGCCAAGAAATCTTCTCATCTGTTTGGCTGCTTTGGAAGGAGTAATAATTTGCCCACTAAAGAATCAGAAATGAAAAATGAAAGCACAAAAGAGAAATATTCAATTATTTAACACTATTTAGAATTGCTTCAAGTTTTTCATATGTGTATGTATTTGTTAAACAAATTAATCACATGATCAAATGAGTATATAAAGCACTTTAAATACTATGAAAAGTGAACTGTTATTAATAACGAATGTTTACTGAGCATCTATGCTGGGCATTAAGGACGTGACAGAAATGAATTAAGGTATGGTCTGAAATTTAAAAAAAAAAACAGAAAAAAAGAAAGAAACTTTCTGTATTATTATCTCTCCCATTGGAATATGATTTCCTTGACAGCAGGGACTGTCTTACCTTTCTATTGGCATTACCAGTGTTTTGCACATAGTAAGTGGTTAATAAATGCTTTGTTCATTAATTCATTCATTCATTCTCTTAGTTTAAAGAGCTTACCTCCCCATAAGGCTCTTACAAGTCTCCACAGTAAGCAAATAAACATTCCTCATCATTAGAAAGTATTTATTTAACACTAATGCTGGATATATAAAGCTTAAGTTTCAAGGGACATACAGCCTCGTTGGGGAGATATAGACATCTACATAAAAAAGACATACAACAATATATGGTAGCAAAGCCTAAGTATCAGATGAATAGTATAGAAGTAAATGCCTTAAGAGTTCAGGGAGACATCAACTCTAGGGGGATCAAGGCTGGCCTCATGGAACAGGTAGGAATTGAGCTGCTCTTGAAGAAAAGGTAGAATTTACACACAAATGATGAGCAGTAAGGAAGGTATCCAGTTAGGAAAAAAGCAGAAGTTGGAATGTGAGGTCCTAGGTTGGGGATAAGAGAATTTCTTGCTCAACTTTATTACCACCATTTACTTAAGATGAGCAGGTCAGTAACTAGCTAGAGTCTGCAAAATCAAACTGAGACACCAACTATATCTCTGGTGTTAATTGGTTAGTTCCTGCTCAGTTAACATGTCTGCAAATTTACAGCTTGAGATAACAGCTATGCCCTCAGTGTTTCCCAGGTAGTTTCCTGTTTTGGCTAATATAGATCTTCCTTTTCTGCCATCTATTCTTTGGTCTGTAAATTATCATCTTCCCTTATTTACTCTTTGAAATTCCACTATATCCATCCTGATCATGTAACCAAAGCCTATGTAAGATTGCTAAAATGCTGCTCTGACTCACTGATTTTTGTATCCTGTGAGGCTATGCCCTGAACATAATAAACTTGTTTTTTTTATCTTTGTGTTATTGATTATATAATTGGCAGCAATTCCTGTCAATGAATCCTTGGACAGTTTTTGTCACAGGGAACAAGAAGTCGATCAGTTAGGCTAGTGTTTCATTTTTGTAGGGTAGTAATAGGAGAGTGGAAGATGGAGGTCAGTTTGTGAAATGCCTTGAGCACCAGCCTAAGTGGTTTGTCCTCTGTCCTGTAAGTAGTAAAAAGCCATTTAAAAATTTCTAGCAAATGGCAATATAACAGAATTTGATAATTAGAAAGGGTACATCTAGCCTATGCCATATATGGAAGGAATCTCTAGCATAACATACCCAAACCAGCCTTTCCTTGAAGACCTCCAGTGAGGAGGAAACCCCTCCCCCCCCATTCCTTAGGGCAGCCTATTTCCTGACATCAGGTTGTAGGTCATAGGAAACTATCAGAAATGCTAACAACAAAGGATGTTCATGAAGTCTACATCTGTACATTTGGGAAGATGCAAAGTATTGCATTTGACCGTATATAGGCTGCCCTAAAATATAGGGCACACCTTTAAAATTACATAAATTTCAAAGCAATATCTAACTTTCATGTATAGTTTCTTTGTATATATTTGTTTTGTGTGTTGTCTTCCCCATTAGATTTTGAGCTCCTTGAGGATAGGAGCTATCTTTTGCCTCTTTTTGTATCCCTAGAACTTAGCACAGTGCCTGGAAAATAGGTAGGAACTTAATAAATGTTAATTTATTGATCGGTCTTACTAACTTCAGGCCCAGTCTCTCTCCATTATACACAGGACAAACTTTTAAGTTTAATCTACATAATTTATGCTTTCTTAAGTCCAGACAATCAACCAAACAATAAATCAATCCATGTTTTGTAATTTGCCAATTTCCAAGGTATAAATGATCACTGAAAATTTAACAGTTTGGCTGTCATGAACTGGTAGAGTTGGCTCCAGCATACCGCTGCCCTAGACTAACAAAATTTAGCAGGAGGCTAATAGATATCATTCTAGCCTCATACTTTTTTTCTCCTGTCTAGAATTGGTCTCCCTTAGAGAAGGGTGGGCAGAGAAGGCTCTAGAGATATTTGGATCCACATCTAGACAGACCTATGGGAACACACATAAGCTACACAAACAACATCAACACCCTAATAATTCTATTTCTTAACAGAAAGAGCTGATTACCAATGTGGGTGTCACTTCAGAATCACTAGTCTATGTGCAGTCTGGTGATCAGCTGCTTAAAGCAAAAGTCAAAGTCACCAACAAATTACCAAAAAAAGACAATGATGAGAAGTCATTTCATGCAATTATTAGAGATCCATCCCAGTCTAATTAAACAAGGCTATGAACAAAAGGAAAATGGATAAAAGTAAAAACATTGACTCAATCACCATTTCTTAAGGAGAGTTTAATGAATGTAAAAGACTTCTCTAATGAGGAGGCTGTAAGAGCTCAGAAACTGCCTCAGCCAGCAAATACTTGATCTCCATGCCAATCTGAGAGAAGTGGCATCCAAAGGGAGTGTGCATGAGTCTAGCAAACAAGCTCATTTGTGAAACACTACAGAGAAGGATGACAGAGGATTATAAATGGTATTGACCCACGAAACAACAAAAAGTAGTGGTGAAAAAAGCTAGTCAGCAAAAAGCTTGTCATGAGAACCAATTAATCCAGATCATCCAAAGACTATTCATAGATGAAACTGGAAGGAGGAAAACAAATGTATGTGAAATAAATAAGATTTGCTAGCATTTTATTTAAAAAATCTCATTACCACACTAAAATTCTAAACCTTCAGTAACCCAGTGGGCCATATATGAGGAAGTAGAAATGATATATAAGAAGATGAAGTCAGGAAGGACAGTAGAACTAGACGAAGTACATAGAAAAGAAAACCGTGCTGGAAGCAACAGAGTTGTAAGGCATTCAGGGAATAATGAGAAAATGTGAATCAAAACCATTTTGAGTTTCACTTCATCCTCAAGCAAATGTGGAAAGATGATAAAAATAGCAATAGTCTGTCCTAGGGGTTGTAGAATATCAGGCACATGAATACGCTGTTGGTGGAGTAGTGAATTGGGCCAACAACTCTGAAAAGTAATTTGGGATATGTTAAGAAACTGACTAAAATGTCGTTACCTTTTGACCAAAAGATCCCACTGCTAGGCGTCTACTCCAGGAGGGCAATGAAGGAAAAAAAGAGGTAAAAAAGGCCCCATGTATGGCAAAATATTTTAGTAGCATTTTTCTTATAATAGCAAAGAACTAGAAGCAAAGTAGATGCTCACCAACTGGGTAATGGCTACACAAGTTGTTGCCCATTAACCCAAAGGAATGTTGCTGTGCTCTAAGAAATCACCAATGTGAAGATTATAGAGAAGACATACGTGAACTATTGCAAAACTAAAATACAATCAGGAAAACAACATGCACATTGACTACAAGAATATAATGGAAAGAATGGCAACAACAAACTAGTCCAAACTGAATATTGTGAGATTGTAATGTTGTTTGTCCTTCGTTTTCAGAGAGGACCAGTAACCTCACAGGGGATGCCTTCCCTTGCTCAGGAGTTGCGTATGAGTGGGGCAGATCTGTGCAAAGTCGTCAGCCTTGCTATCTTCCAGACTCATCCAAGTCCAGAGGGAAGACAAAAGTCAGGCATCAGGACAAAAGTCAAAAGTCTGACAAAAAAGTCAGAAGTCAAAATCCTGACAAAACTCAGGCAGTGGTCAGGGACGCAGTGGATGACCTTGGTGTCTTTGATGCCTAACCAAGCTCTCTCGGTGCTCCATAACGCTGGCTTCAGCAGCCATTGGAACCAATGGTTCTCATGCGCCCATTCCACAGACAGAAATCTTCACTTGCTTGGGGTAGACACCTCCCTGACTCCCCGACAGTCTTGTGACCCATCGGTCACCCTCAACCTGGTTTAGCGCATCTGCCTAGACTGTTTACCAGAGTGTAGCTGCTGCACATGCTATAGCTTCTCGGAGTCACAAGTAGAGTTGGGTGGATCAGGTAAACACCAAAGGTGGATGAGAATCTCTGAAAAGGGCTGGGCAAGCCCTCACACCAGAGGTGCTGGTCCTCCTTGAACATCCATACACACCAGTGGAATTATAATAAGCTTGACGTCAAAGAAAATACTACCAATAATTTGATAGCTAACTTTAATATAGCATTTACTATGTTCTAGGCACTGTGCTAAGTACTTAATGATTTTTATACCATTTGATCTTCATAACAACCCAGAGAAGTAGGTGCTGTTATTATCGTTCTCATTTTACAGGTGAAGAAGGTGAGACAGGTAGAGGTTAAGTGACCTGCCTAGGGTCACACAGGTAGTAAGTGTCTGAGATTAGATTTGAATTCAGGTTTTCCTGACTCCAGGCTCATCACTGTATCCACTGTGCCACCTAGCTATCCATAGGGATATATAAGAAAACCTCCTCTGTTTCTTTGCGTAAGTGGGGAACTATGGGTATGGAACATTGCATATAATATTGGACTTGAATGACATAGTTTTGCTAGTTAGCTGGTCTTACAAAACTATTTTTTCCTTCTTTTGATTTTTTTTTTTGGTATGAGATGTCATTCAGGGCAGAGGGAAAGGGAAGGCCATGTTGGCAATGTAGGTATTGCAAAGCAAAAGATAATCAATAGAAATATATATTTTTAAGGACACAGGATAGGGGGCAGCTAGGTGTCGCAGAGCACCGGCCTTGGAGTCAGGAGGACCTAAGTTCAAATCCAATCTCAGACCAAACACTTGACACTTACTAGCTGTGTGACCCTGGGCAAGTCACTTAACCCCAATTGCCTAAATAAAAAATAAATAAAATAAAATAAAGAGACAGGACAGTAGGAGTATAAAATTTGAGAGGATTAAAATCTAATTCCTTTGCTTTACAGGTCAGGGAACTGAGACCCAGAGAAGTTGGAAGTCTTGCCTAAGGTCACACAATTGGCAGGCAGCAGAATTAAGACTCAAACTTGGATTCACTGACTTCAGGTTGTCTTACAACAATGTTTGTCTTTATCTTCCTTTGGGAAACAGGATGGGCTGGCTTATCTTCTCTACCTTCTCACAGACACTTGAGGCCTCAGTTTCTTAATTTGTAAAATGAAGAAATTGGACAATCTCATCTTTTATGTAATTTTCTAGGATTCTAACATCAATCTCAACAGCATACTGGAAATCTCAAATATTTAAATGAGGGAAGCGTTAAGTGTTTGGTTTTCGATGCCGAGATCTAGCTAGCAATCTCTGGATAAATTGGGGAACATTTAATTAGTGAATTCTCCAAAGGTGTTTGGCTAATATCCTGCCAAAGTGAGAGGATTTATTATTATTTCCCTTAAGAACATTGCTATTCCTCTTCTTCCTGAAATCAGGTCCAATTTTTATTATGCTTCAAAGACAGCATAGTCTCTAGCCAATTTCTGTGCAGTAGAGGCTATCTGGACACTGAGGAATCAAGAGGGCAGACTCCTCATTTATCATCAGTCATGGCTTTTCTAAGTGTGAAACTGCTAAAGTATGTTTCTTCCAATATTATGCCCTACCTAATTATCAATGATTGCTCAGTTTATATAAAGCATTTAGCAGTGAAAGTGGATTAAAAAAAGAGAGATATAAAATCATCATCAGAGTAAGACATCTTATCCGTTCAACCAATACCTCCTGGCGCCTTCTAGGTACAAGTCACTATTCTAGGTAGTATAGAGGATATACAGAGGAGTAAGCTCTCAAGAAAATAGAAACCCAATGGATTAAAAAATGCACATGAATTGATAGAATACAAGGGGCAGCTAAGTGGCATAGTGGATAGAGTGCCAGGACTGGAGTCAGGAAGACTCTTCTTTGTGAGTTCAAATCTGGCCTTAGACACTTACTAGCTGTGTGACCCTGGCCAAGTCACCTAACCCTGTTTGCCTCAGTTTCCTCATCTATAAAATGACCTGGAGAAGGAAATGGCAAACCAATACAGTATCGCTGCCAGGAAAATGGGGTCACAGAGATATGACTGAAAGAAGACTGAACAACAACAAAAGAGATGCGGAATATGCTATAAGAAAGAGGAAGTTGTCAAAGGACCAGACTTCTGACTAAGATAGTGGCATGATATGTTAGACACCTCAGCCAAAGTTTTCCCTAGGAGCATTCGAATTCAGTTGATTTTGTCCCTGCTCATGGTTTCTCCTAGAAACCTTAGATTTTAATTCACATTTAGGTCTTTACGGGAAAGGCAAGCTCTGGTTTCTTCTTGGTCCTAGAAAACACTTCTGTTTGGGCTAGGACAAGGGTGGGAAACCTGTGGCCTCGAGGCCACATGTGGCATTCTAGGTCCTTGGGTGCAGCCTTTTGACTGAGTCCAAGTTTTAGAGAACAAATCCTTTTATTAAGGGGATTTGATCTGTGAAGTTTGGGTTCAGTAAAAGGGCCACAGTTAAGGACCTAGAGGGCCACGTGTGGCCTTGAGGCCTCAGGTTCCCACCCCTTGTCTAGGAATTTAGCACTATTTAGGAACTTCAGGTTCTAGTCAAGCACTCAGGATAACATTGAACAAAAGAAAGGTTTTATTTCACATTACAAAAAATGCTTCGCCCCCTCCCCAAGATAGCAAGCAATCTGATATAGGTTACACATGTATGATCATGTTAAACATGTTCCACAGTAGTCATGTTATGAAAGAAGGATCAAAACAAAAAGGAAAAACCATGAGGAAGAAAAAAAAAAGGAAAATAGTGTACTTTGATCTGCATTCAGACTCCATTGTTCTTTCTCTGGATGTGGTTAGCATTTTCCATCATGAATCTTTTGAAATTGTCTTGGATCATTGTATTGCTGAGGAGAACTAAGTCTATCATAGTTGATCATCACACAGTGTTGCTGTTATTATGTACAATGTTCTCCTGGTTCTACTCACCTCACTCAGCACCAATTCATACAAGTCCTTCCAGGTTTTTCTGAAGTCTATTTGGTTATCATTTCTTATGGAACAGTAGTATTTCATTATCTTCATATACTACAACTTATTCAGCCATTCCTCAATTAATGGGTATCCCCTCAATTTCCAATTCTTTGCCACCTCAAAAAGAGCTGCTATAAATATTTTTTTACATGTGGGTCCTTTACCTTTTTTATGATCTCTTTGGGATACAGACCTAGTAATGGGATTACTGGATGTAATTACTGGATAGTAATGGATTAAGGAGTATGCAGAGTTTGGTTGTCCTTTGGGTATAGTTCCAAATCCCTCTCCAGAATGGTTGGATCAGTTCATGACTCCACCAGCAATGCATTAGTCTGACAACTGTTTCTGCTAATGCTGAAGCAACAGCTACTGAAGACCCAGAAAATAAAGGTCTTTCTATCACCAAAGCCTTTGGCACTGTTCAACATCAGAGAGAGAGAGACAGAGAGACAGAGACAGAGAGAGAACAGAGATATAGGGAAGCTAGATGACACAATGGGTAGACACCTGGGTCTGGATTAGGAAAACTTGAATTCAAATTTGGCCTCAGTCACTTACTGGCTGTGTGACCCTGGCCATGTCACTTAACCTCTATTTGCCCAGTTTCCTTATCTATAAAATGGGGATAATAGCACCTACCTTGCAAAGTTATTATAAGGATCAAATGAGATAATTATAAATCATTTAGCACATAGTCAGGATCAAATGAGATAATAATTGTAAAGTGTATGGCACATAGTAAGTTCTACATAAATGTTAACTATTTTTATTATTATTTGATTTCAACAGTGGAAATGATGAAGATGAAGCTTTGCTGCACCCTCAGGACCATAGGACTTTGCCATCTGACTTGCAACGGAAACCTTCTATATGTATTATCTTTCCCATTATAATGTAGGCTCCTTGAGAACAGTTTTCTTTTTGTATCCCAGCATTTAGCATAGTGCTTTGCACATAGCAAATGCTTAGTACTGAAAAGCAAAGTTATTTTTTCATTCATTCATGTATTCATTCCTTTATATTATGTACCATGCACTGTGCTAAGCGCTAGATACAAAGACAAAAATGAAATAGTCCCTGCCCTCAGGGAGTTTATATTCTGCTCTAAGGTTTCTCATGACAACTAAGTTTTTAGGCTTATCAGGAAATGACAGTAACAAGCCATTAATCAAGGCTAGAAGGAAGATAACTCCTACCTATAGCCGAAAAGGGGGTACACATAAAATGCACATAAGGTTGGAGGGGAGTCTATTTGTCTCTCAGCAGACTGCTACCCTGGGTCCTCAGCTTCATTAGAACACTCCTATCCTCTCAACTTCACAACTGTTTCTCTGCTAGACTCCAAGATGGGTTGCCAAGCCACCCACACAGTGATGAGTTTTCCCAGATGGTTAATTCAGATCAGGAAGTACATATCCCCAAGCCCACCCAGGAGGCCAGCTCCTGTTGGAACCACGGGGAAGCCCCCTGCTGTGGGATAAAGCTCTTGGGTAACTCAGAGCTGTTCATTCCCTTTACCAGAATCCTCCAGGTTTTGTAGGACTAGGAAAATTAGAGACTGCTGTGGTCGTCCTTTCCCCCTGAGGGGCCCTGGTGCCTCAAACATAATGCAAGAAGGCACCAGGCCTCATTAGGAGAGTACATTTTTTTGCTGAATTGAGTTGTTTTTTTTTTTAATGAAGCCACTTTCTGGTTCTACTAGCTAAAGAAGTACAAGAAACCACAGGAAACTATATTTGACTATATTGTAACCAGAAAATTGGCTTAACGTTGTGGAGCTCTGCTTTCCAGAAACTCATTTACTGCTACATTATCCCTCTCCTTTATGCTACTTAAACATGATTCAATCCCGTCCTTTTGTCCTTCAGCTTGGTGAGATGTGAGAAGCAAAATGCCCTCTAGGGACCCTACCACACTCCTGAAAAACTGATATTTGAAATGTGTTGTTCAAGACAAAAAAGCTGAGGGCATCGTTTCCTTTGTTAACTTTTGTGGGGCCTCTCTTTGGAGCACCTGTGAATAATCCTGAGCATCTGGTGCCATCTACAAACAGGAAAATCCCTGGGGGAACAGCAGAAAAGAAAGAGTAAATGAGTCCGGAAGAGTCAAATTTAGAACTGGAGAGAGCCTCCAAGCTCATCTAATCCCTCATTTTACAGATGGGTCAAGGGACTGTCAGGGAGAGACTAAGTGACTCGTCTCCTGTCACACAGGGAATAAGGATTACAGGATTGTAAACTTAGAACGGAAAGGAACCTCAGAGTTCAACTCTGTCATTTTACAGATGAAGAAACTGAGTCCCAGAAAAGTTAAATGAATTGCCTAAGGTCACACAGTTAAGACTACTGCACAGAGGCAGATTTTGATTCTAGGTCCTCTGACTCTAAATCCATTACTCTTTCCACTGTACCAATTTGCCTCAACAGAGCCCAAATCTGCTGCAAGGAATAATGAGCTCAGGTCCTGTACAGGCTCTTCATTTATCCTTCTCTGTCCTTGCTCTTAGTCATGTCATCTCATCCTTAAATCACTTTCCCATACTCTGCTCTTTGGGCTGGTAAAGCTTCATGGGCATGGCTAATAAGAGGCCTGACACCCTCAGCTCCATTTTGCCTTCTTCCTGGAATCTCAGGGCGGGGAATGAAGAGAAAGTTACTATTCAAGTTTAGAAGGTTTTCAGAGCTACAGTATTTACAAGACTTTAAAGACAATTAGCACAGCTCTCTGGGACCAATTCAATTTAAGGTGTGCAGAGCACTATTAACAAAGTTTCCTTCCCTGGAAATTCCCTATACTGTGGACATCACAGATCCAGTGCCTTTCCTGATAAATGTGAGTTGTCATTATTATTATCTTCCAAGAGCTTTGAATTTTATCTGGGATCAAAGGTTTAAGTTAAAGTCGTGTAGCTCAGGGTAGGATTGGGAACAGCTTGGAAGGAAGTGGAGTATTCGTCATCATACCCACATGGGACAGCCCAACCTCTTCTATTGGTCTCAAATTTATGAACTCTGCCAATCCATGCCTCCACCTACCCAGGACTTTATAGAACAAGGAGGAGATGAGCATCTAACGCTGAAAAACTTAGATTGTATTAAGAGTAAAGGGCCACATTTATTTAGCTAAATCCCTTCACCAGGCTCCTGTCCTGCCTGGGCCATAGACAAATAGAGGAGATCTAGAGATATCTCAATTCCTTCGTTTTCTAGATGATGATACAAAAGTAAAGTCACTTGCCCAAGGTGCACAGCTGTTTGGTAGAGCCAGGACTACAAGCCAGGTCTCTTGGCTCTCAAGCCAATACTGTTTCCGTTACACCATTTTGTCACGGGCTGAATGGGCTTTGATATTTACTTGAGTATGGGTGTAGCTCACCCTCCAGAGAAGGTGGGAGGAGTTAGTCATTCTTTCCTTCACATCTTTTCCTACACCAACACACATACATACCTTCTGTACTATTCATATTCCAGCTAGTACAAAGCTATTCGGGAGCAATTAGGAATCTTTAAATTAGCAATCTTTAAATATAATTTTGCTTGCATTAAAAAAAGATGGCAGATGTCAATGAAATGGTCTTAGTATCAGTTTTTCCAGCTTAATAAAGTTTATGGTTTAGTTCATTCACCCTCTTTTGAACATTTCTCAAAAAGTCAGTCAATAATATTAACCTAAGTACGATTGTTTCAGAGAGAACTATTTTCCTCCAAGAAACATTTAATTCAGCAATGTGGTACTACATGGGTTCCATATAAATGCTGGAAGTCCTCCCAGATACAATTCCCCAGATTTAACTAGTCTCTAAATTTTTAAACGAAGACTCTGAAGATATTATTTGCTTATTAAAAGACTTCTTCCTTTTCCAACAATATAGCTGTGTGAAGCCAGTTTTCTTCACATAACCAAAATCACTTATTTAAGCAGGCTGGCTGCTCACACCTCTGATGCGCAGGGCCAGGAGGAGTCATCATACTCACTGCCACTTTCAGAACCTCCCTCTACCGTCATCAGTCAGCAGCACAAGCTCATCTCCTTTAAAGTTTGCTCCATTCTGTCTATATCCTTGTTAGTGCTATCTATAACATTCCTTCCTTGGTGGGGCAGGATATGGGGCCAGTAGATTCAAGGACGTAGGGAGCAACGGAAAGTTTGAGCCTCTGCTTACTACTCCAGCTCCTGCTCCTTCATCCAAATCCCACCCTCCTGAGTTCATGACCTCATCTCAGTGCCACAGATGACCGTAAACCAGACCACCAGCCAAAGGGCTTTCTCACTTTCACAGCATCCAGTAGTGAGCTCAGAAGGGGATGTGGAACACATGGCATGATCAAGAGAAGCCATGCATCAGACCTAGTGGCAGTGCTGGTGTGGGAAAGTGGCAGTACTCAGAAAGACATAGTCAAAGATGTAGTTCAGTCGCCCAACATTGCATCTTTACCTCTCCTTTCCCCAGTGTTGCCTCAGGCTTGAACCAGAATATCTGTTTTGCCTCCTCCTGGCCCAGGCTGAGTTGATCTACCATCTTGATTTCAATTGGGCAACAATTTGGTTCAGTCCTATGCATTTTTTTCCCCATAGGTAGGGGTGCTTGATATTCCTCCATTAAAAACACATTCCTTAACATACACACTCACTTGGGCATGGAAATCCATCTTACCCTACTGGAAAGTAAGGGGGAAGGGGATAAGGGGGGGGGATGATAGAGGGGAGGGCAGATTGGGGGAAGGGATAATCAGAAGCAAACACTTCTTAGGAGGGACAGGGTCAAAAGAGAGACTAGAATAAATGGGGGGGGCGGAAAGGGATGAGGGGAAATATAATTAGTTTTTCACAACATGACTATTATGGAGGTGTTTTGCATGACTACACAAGTATAACCTGTATCCAGTTGCTTGCCTTCTCAATGAGGGTGGGTGCGGAGGGAAGAAGGGAGAAAATTTGGAACTCGGAGTTTTAAAAACAAATGTTAAAAATTGTTTTCACATGCAACTGGGTAATAAGATACATGGGCAACAGGGTATAAAAATCTATCCTGCCCTACAGGAAAATAGAAGGGGAAGGGGATAAGAGAAGGGGAGGTGATAGAAGGGAGGGCAGATTAGGAGAAAGGGTATTTAGAATGCATAGCACCTTGGGGGGGGAGGGGCAAGAGGGGGAGAAAATTTGGAACTCAAAATCTTGTGGAAGTCAATGTTGAAAATTAAAAAGAAATAATAATAATAAAGAAGAAATAGCAAAAAAAAATTACATTCCTTTGATTTATGCATTGTCTCCTCTCCCATTCCCATTAATACTACTTTTAAAAATGCCTTTTAGAGTGAGCAACTCACTAACATCATAGTATGAATTAATCTATTCCCTCTGCAGCAATACAAGAGAAGAAGTAAGAAGTGGGGATATCCAAAAGGAGGGGAGAATGAGCAGAAGGAAGAGTAAGGACAGGGTCTTGCTTGCTTGCTTCCTTTATAATCTTGCCTAGGACAATACTTCCTCAGGAATCAGGGACATACATGTTATTTCTAAGTGTTTGTTATCTTCAGGAAAAAACCTGTTTTATCGACTGGCAGAAGACAGGAGGCACATGACAGGAAGAAACCTAGGAGGAAAGCAAGTTTGTAAACAACAGACAAGTCCATGGAGCCTAGTGGAAGGGGGATGGGGACTGAATAAGGTTAGAAATTTTCTGAAATTAAGTTCCTAACAAGTCAACAATAGCCCAAACAATTGGCGAAAGTTCCTATGAATAACATTTTTAGAACTAGAGAGAATAAGTCCTCCGATTACTTGTTCTGCTTCATCTGCTCTTTATGCTTAGAATTCTATTGAACTAGGGCAGCTAGGTGGCACAGTGGATAGAGCCCTGAAGTCAGGAGGACCTGAGTTCAAATCTGACCTCAGACCAAGCACTTGACACTAGCTGTGTGACCCT